TCCATACCCTTACTCTGTAGATGAGACTAATTATGCCTGTAGTTTGCTGTTCAAAAACTACATTTTTCTTCAAATGCTTTGTTCCAACTGCTAAATAAAATTTTGCTCAAAAAATACTGTTAGTCTCTATATCACTAGTACCAGGTTCGTGAAAGAAGGAAACTCAGGTACTTGAAACCCAGTCAGGCCTGCAGGGTAATAAGAGGATAGGAAACAGAGGAGTAAGCCTGTGTCCCGCTCCATGGGTGGGAGTATTAAGAAAGCACTTCCAAAGAGGTTAGAACAAGTGAACCAAAATCTGAGGTAGATGTTCTCAGAGACTGGAAAGGCAATAGGACTACAGCCAGCCCCCTAACTATGACATGGCATCAAGTTTGTGTTCCATTCATGTTACAAGATGCAGAAGCATGCAGAAGCTTATTATTCTTCCATTTATATCCCTCATCATGTGGGCAGTTTCTAAGCCCATCTAGGTTCCTTCACCCACTTTCTAGAATTGAGATACCCATTGAATACTGAAGACTTTCCCATTAATAGACTTACTGCTTGATGAACACATGCAGAACATTGTATTTCAGGTTCAAAACCAGTAAGAACACAAATGTGCAGATTGACTTTAACTGCAGAATTGTTAAATTGCTTAAACTTATTTTAGGTCATATCTACAAGGTAAACCCATCATCTGAACTGGCAGCACAATTAAGCACTGCATATTGTTTCAAGATAACTACCTCCTCAACTGGAAGCAATGTAGCTGCTTCCACCGGAAGATGGGTATAGACTAAACGGCTCTGAGGAGTTACAGAGCCAATTAGCCCACTCCCAAATTAATATGATCCTTGCTTCCAGTTTAGAAGACAGCCCACCTGGACTGGTGCAGCATGTTTGAAGGTGTTGGAACAGGAAACAGTGGATTCATCATGCAGCGATGGCTGCGGAGACCCAAGTCTAGCTGTGAAATAAACCTGGTTAAATCCATAGAACTGCACCAACTGTTCATCAATTCTACTTAGAATTGTTTGAAAATATTTCCATCATGAAATGTTGAGTCAACTAATCCTAAATGTTCTATAGAATTGTGTCTGCTTTATGGACACTTTTAAAGGAAAATTATCAGAATAAGTCATTCTGATAAGGTTGAAACATTTCTTTTTCCATTTTGTTATTTCAAAATTAATATTTATTATAACTTACAGCATGACCATGTCAACATCTAAGAACAATTTATAATATAAAGCCAAAATGGAAAATTTTAACCTTATTCATATGAATAATTTTAAAAGGCTACTTTAGTTATTCAGAAAACTAAATTTTTCAGAATGTATTGTAAATTTCAAAATGTCACCATATCCTTCAGAACTGAGATAAAAACAAATTCAAAATATTGAACTCTCCCATGGGATTGAAACTGAATTTATCTAACAAGATCTAGTAGGGAACCAATGAAGTGGTTTATAGTGTTTATAGGAAGCAGTATTTATAGAATCAAAAAATCCTAGAAAAAGAGGTCTGGAAGGGTCCTCAGGTCATGTAGTCTAACCCTCTGCTCAAGGTATGATTATCCCTATCCATCCCATCCTATCCAAGTGCTTGTCTAATCTATTCATAAACTATATTCTGCCCAGTTCAGTAGTCAGTTAGCAAATGGACTTTCAGTATAAATAATCAAAAGATGTAGGAATATTTTCACTGCCAGTTTTATCTCTGTAGCATATCACTTGAACTAGCGTGGGAGCCACTGCCCTTATATTCTATTGCAGAACACACATACCAGATATGTGCAGCTAATCGTCAAGTGTTTGTACATAGGCAGCAATAATTTATTTGCAACCCAGCTGTGTCTATATTCTTAATACTGCACATGAAAAGACAACAACACGCTTCTGTAAAGTCTGACTGGATGATCTTTATTAAAGACCATGCAGGTGAGATTTAGAGAACACAAAAATCCAAAACAGAAAAATTAAGTTATAACACTCCCTTCCTTTTCAGATAATTTTCTCTGTTGTATGACTGGCTTTCTTCCACTGACACTGTCACCAAAGAGACCACATGCTGAATGGACTGATATCTAAATGTTGGGACACACAAAGACTGCCCTCCCTCTCACACAGGATGCATCTTTTCTTGATAAACAGCAGAATAGAGGTTTGCCTGTCCCATAGTTGAGAGGTGAGGTGGATGAAGACTTGCCATAAATTGATAGTCTCTTTCTACTCCTTTCTTTTCACTCTGTTCCCTGCCTGTGAAAATAGTGTAATCCCTACCCTACTCAAAAGCTCTTTTGGGTTCTTGGTAGAAGGGGAGAGAGACAAGCACCGCTTCCTTCCTGAAGCAGCCTTTTTCCAGGCAAGCAGTCAGATTGGGCTCCTAGGCTTGGGTGAAATTTGCAAGAATGCTGGAACTTCTTGATACATTGGGATATTGGCTTCACACTTGGCCAAAATCACATGAATCATGAGATTTGGCAATACTGCTCGGGCTCAGTTAAGGATAGATAGCTAAATTCCAACAGTTAGGGTTAGTCCATTAACGTCTGACTACATGCTGAGTAAACCTTTATAGCTGTGAGAGTGATTTAATCAGTGATGATACATAAACCAGGCAGAGCCTCACTTGACTCTTATGCTGCAGGCTAGTGATATGGGGAGAAATAAAAGATCCAGTCCCCCTACATATTACTGATCAACAGCAAATGTTTAAATCTATGGGCCATTTTTAACAAAATAACTTTTCAAATGCCCATGGACTTCAATGGATTTGGGATCAGGTCCTCATAGCTCACGATTTACTAAGAAATACAGCTATAATCCCTGAAAAATGGCACATAAACTGTTCAGATCAACAGCTATGCCAATAAAGTAGTGTTCATAGAATCAAAGAATCATAGAAAAGTAGGGCTGGAAGGGTCCTCGGTCATCTAGTCTAACCCCGTACTCAAGGTATGATTATCCCTATCCATCCCATCTCATACAAGTGCCTGTCTAATCTATTCATAATCTAATCAAGCAATTCTTTCACACAACTACAAGGTCCACCACTGCAAAACTCCAGGAACATCCTACTTAGCCTGCCACACGAAAAGCCAGGAGACAAAGAAACTGTTAGTGTCCTGCTGCTGCCAGAGGTGGTAAAATGCACTTAAGACAGGGGTGGGCAAAATGCGGCCCATAGGCCACATGTGGCCCGCCAGGCCATTCTATCCAGCCCTCAGGGCTCCTAAAAAATTTAGAAAATGAATATTTATCTTCCCCTGGCTGCCTGTCATGCAGCCCTTGATGGCTTGCCAAAACTCAGCAAGCAGCCCTCCGCCTGAAATAATTGCCTGCTCCTGACTTAAGAGATCCAAGAAAAAGAACTTCCCTCCCCATCCCTGCCAACAGAGGAAGGCAAGACCCCCCCCCCCCCCCCCCACACACACACACCATGTAAATTTGACTGGGATACTTCCCTGCTAAACCAGTGTCCTTACTGCACAACAGGCATGTCTACATTTGATGATTTAAGGCGCATTAGCCATTTTTAAGGCGTATTAAGGGCACTGCATTTGGCAATTTTAGGCTATTCAGTACTACATTTGATACCTGCAAAAATAGGTATCAAATAAATGTGCAAATAGCTAAAGCAACTTAATGCACACATAGACACTCTAAGGTGCATTAACGCTGTGTATGTCGACTGACTTGGGACTAACTTTAGTCCCAAGGTGGTCCACACAAATGCTTGGGAGGCGCTTCCCCCAGCCAGGCTCCATTCAATCTAACCAGCACCCCTGGTTAGATTGTGCTGTTAGGCCCAGACCTGAGCCATGCACACTGAGACCTAAGAAAATGTAGAAGGTTCTTAGGACCATATATGGACATCCAAGCCCCGATCTGTCCCTTAGGAACAGAGACAATCTGAGTGAAATGAAGCAGAAAAGAAGAACCAGAAGAAGGTTTATGCTGTGTGAAGGCATTATGCTTTAAAAAAAAATTGCTGCTAAGAATGATCAAAGAGCAGTGAGTCCATAGGTAATGAGCATAACTGGCTTCCATCTACTGGCCCAGGGAGCCAGGGATTTGGGACTCTATAATCCTTAAAGGACTCAGTCCCACAGAGTTTATAGTCCCTATGCTCCAATCGTTATTTTACCCTCAGATTCATGAGGGAACTGCATGAACAATAAATAAATGGTTCCAAGAAGGGGATCCAGACACAGCTCAGGTTTCTGTGGGATTCATAGAAATGGACTGAGCTGCTGCTTCTTATGTATAAATTTTTAGTTTTATCCGTTTTCCATTTCAGAGTGAAAGAAGAAGAAATAGCAGAGGACTCCTGGCAACTCACTTAGAGTTTTCTCCAGAATTTTAGTAAGTCTAGTCAGATAACTGGCTTTCCAAAATATTCAGGATCCTGTCTGTCTGTCTGTAATTGGTGTTAATCACCATAAACTCTAACCACACTATGAAATAAATGTATCTGGGAATGCAGGATTTAGCTCTTATCATTGACACTGTGCTTTAATTTAAGACAAATTAAATTATGCACACAATAGAAGCAAAAAACGAAAGGTCAAGATAGGTACATAAGCACTGCGGGGTGCTGCTGCCAGTTCCTGGCACAGAATTCAATATGAGATGCCACTGTGTGAAACAGCTGATTATCTTCTTTCCCTTCTTGGCCATTTTTGCAAGCTACTAGCTAATACAGTAGCTCTGGATCCTGGCAAGGAGACAGGTGCATTGATAAAAATATTACAGACCCCTTCTGGCATCAGGACTCCTGTATGTAGTAGGGGAGGAGTCTCAAAGTTATTATTTTTTATTTACTAGAAAAAGAAGCTTTCCAGGCACTTTCACAAGCTTTTAGACAGATGTGCAGGGAGAGAGAGAATAGCAGACAAGATTTGGGGCTTTCACTGACCAGACTCCGATGGGAGATTGAAGGGCATCCTATTCAATAGGTCATCCAGAGCCTCACCATCTCCACGGCTTCAGAAATTATCGCATACTGCTCCAATGGCTGAAGGAAATGGCTCCACAGTGACCGAGTTTTTCCTCCTGGGAATCACAGATGATCCTCAGATGCAGGTCATCTTTTTTGTGGTGTTCCTTTCCATCTACCTGGTCAATGTGATAGGGAACCTGGGCATGATCATCCTCATCTCTCATGACCACCGGCTCCACACACCCATGTATGTGTTCCTCTGGCACCTGTCCTTCTGTGATCTCTGCTACTCCTCTGCCATTGCACCCAGGATGCTGGCTGACTTCTTGTCAAAGGAGAGAGCCATCTCCTTCTCAGGCTGCAGTGCTCAGTTCTACTTCTTTGCTGCCTTTGTGGATACAGAGTGCTATGTGCTGGCTGTGATGGCCTATGACCGCTGTGTGGCCATCTGCAACCCTCTGCTGTATTCCTCTGCCATGTCCAAGAAACTCTGCATCCAACTTTTAGCAGGGTCATATATTGCTGGCATGACGAATGCAGTGATACACACAACAGCCACCTTCAGCCTGAACTTCTGTGGTTCGAATATCGTTAATCACTTCTTCTGTGATGTTCCCCCTCTGCTATCCCTGTCCTGCTCTGACACCCACATCAATGAGATCCTGCTCTTTGCCTTTGCTGGATTTGTTGAAATGAGCTCCCTCTCCGTCATCCTCATCTCTTACCTCTTCATCCTCTCTGCCATCCTGAGGACCCGCTCTGCTGAAGGCAGACATAAAGCTTTCTCCACCTGTGGCTCTCACTTCGCTGGGGTCACTTTGTTTTATGGGACAGTCATTTTCATGTACCTTCGACCCACATCAGTCTATTCCCTGGACCAGGACAAATGGGCTTCCGTGTTCTACACAGTGGTGATCCCTATGATGAACCCCCTGATCTACAGCCTGAGAAACAAGGATGTGAAAGAAGCTTTCAAAAAGCTCATCAAGATGAAATAGATGTCTCCTCTAACCTAAACCCACTCACGTGTATAGAATCTCCCTCACGGCCCTCTACCATAATGGACCATAGCGCACAGAGTACTTAAAGCTGGGTTGACCATTTTTCTTTCAATTCCATTGTTTACAATTGTACACATTTCTCTCCAAATGATTCTTTAGGTGCCAGGTATTTTCATATTCATTCTTAGTACTAATGTGATTTCTTTTTTTTTCTGAGAGGGGGAATGCTTAAGTCACGTCTAATTGGCCTTTTTCACGTTCAGCTGGGGAAATAAAATATGACGTATACTTTGCTATCTTACTATATATACACATACAATGTATATATGTGTGGGGGTATATGTGCATACCCAAATAAATATATTTATGCCTATAGGTAAATATTCATACGCATATGCATATGTGTGTACGTGTATATATAGAAAGGGAGCTGATTATCAGGAAATAAAGTGGTTCTCTTAGTATTGCTGTATGAACTCAGACAATTTACAGATTGCTATATATCAGGATAAATGCTAAATCAGATGACATGAATGCATCTGTCATCCTAAAACTATTAGTGAACCTAGTTTAGAATGTATATAATCTGTTGCAGAACACGGTCTTATTAAGTCTAAACCTATTGTCTTGAAAATAGTTTTTTATTACTAATATTTGCATTGTATGCTAGCACTTAGAGGCCCCAGCCACCATGCCACTGTACTAGGCAAACTGTAACAACACAGTGAGGAAAAGTTAACAACTCGATACTAGGAGGCAAAGATAAGGTAAAAGACTCAGGGTGTCATGATGAATACAGCAGAGGAATGGGAGAACCAACATAATGCTGCAGCCAGGAGAGCCAACAGAGACTTTGCATGTATAAATGATCCTGCTGTGAACAGAGAGTTCTCTAAATTACTTCCTGAAGTCCCTTTCAGACCTCTTTTCCTACAAGGGGAAATCAAGTAGATAATAAGACATTTCATTTATCTATTAGCAACTGGCGTGAACACAATTGGATCTAGTTCTGGTGTTTACAATTCAAGGAGAATGCTGATATTTTGGAAATTAGAGACCTATGAGAAGGCTTGAAGGATAAGAAAAAATCCTAAATAGCAGGAGATGCAGTAACTGAATCTCTTTAGAGTATCAAAGAGAAGGATAATCCATCACTTGATCATGGAAGAGTGTTGGGAGGGAAAGGCAGGACAGGTTAATAATCAACTCTTGTCTTTCAAAGTTATAATGAGATCCAGTGACTGGAAGTTGAAGCTAGACAAATTCAGACTAGAAATAAGGATCACATTTATAATGGATTGTTGTTAAACATTGGAACCACTTACCAAGGTCATGGTGGATTCTTTATTCCTGGAAATGCATACATTAAGAATGGATTTTTTTTCAGGAAGATAAGATCTCATTCAAACATGAATTAATTCAAGTAAGCCTGAAAGCTTAGGTTATACTGAAGGTCAGACTAGATGAACACAGTGTTCACTTGAGGATTTATAATCTGACAACCATACAATTTTGAGACCAGTAATTTTCAACCAGGGTGCTGTGGTACCCTGGGGTGCTGCCAGATCCTTTGAAGGGTGCTCTAAATTATGCTGAAACAAGCTACATCTGAGGAAATCAGCAGATAAACTAATCATATAAGCTCAGGCTCAGGCTTGTCCTTGCCTGACCAATCCCCCACCCCAAATGCCCAGTCCTTCTGCAAGGAGGTAAATGCTGTAAAATAGGATAATAAGAAAGTAGAGCTAGAAGGGAACTCACAAGGTCATATAGACCAGCCCCCTGCTCAAGGTAGGATCATCCCTGACTAGACCATTCCAGCCAAATGTTTGTCTAACTGGTTCTTGAAAACTTCAAAGGATGGCTATTCCATAAAGGAGAGAGAGAGGGAGAGAGAGAGAGAATTACTTTTTGAAATCAGGTGCAATTCAATTCACAGAAGGTTTGGAGAGGTGCCTCAAGTCGAAAAAAGGTTGGGAACCAGTGTCCTAGACAATACAGGCCACAGTACAGGAATAGAAATATGAACAGAGAAGGGAGGTATGCTGCCCATAAGCTTACAGCTTGTCAATGGCAGGGCTGGAATTATACAATAAGTTTTCTGACCTTTAATTCAATGTTTTTCCCATTGATCTAGATTACAGGTGGTACACTGAATAATAGAACTAAAAAAATCTAAAATTCATAGCACCTTTCATAAATTCCCTTCTTTTTTTTGCCCACTTAGGCTGTGTCCAGACAAGCGAGCACATGCCTGTTGCAGCATCTCAAATGCCACAAGGGGCACGCTAGGAATGAAAAAATGTTCCCCGCCGTGCATATTTGCAGGGCAGACTCTAATTTTGATACCAGGAAATCCCAGTATCAAAAAAAAAAAAACATGCTTGGAAAAAGCAGCACAGGGCATGCTCCTGGAGTGTGCCATGAAACAGCTGGAGGCTAGGTCCTCCAGTGAGATGCTCTGGCACTAGCCAGAGCGTCTCCATGCCTGTCGTCTGTCCCTGCTGCTGGAGCATGCTGCCTCAGCATGCTGGAGCAAATAGGAAGGGGACAAGGCTGCAGTGATGGATTGGACCCAAGCTCTGTCCCCACTAAGAAGGGACATGAGGGTGGAAGAGGGGCGGGGGGCTTCAACTATCTGAAGGAGGGTTGAAAGAGGATGGAGTTAGATTGTTCTCAATGTTGGCAGATGACAAAACAAGGAGCAACAGTCTCAAGTTGCAGCAAGGAAAGTTTAGGTTAGATATTAGGAAGAACTCTCTCTCTCTAGGAGGGTAGTAAAACCCTGGAACAGATTACCCAGAAACATGGTGGACTCTCCATCCATGGAAGTTTTTAAGACCCAGCTAGACAAAGCCTTGGCTGGGATGACCTAGTTGGGGATGGTCCTGCTTTGAGCAGGGGGTTGGACTAGATGACCTCCTGAGGTCCCCTCCAACCCTAAATTCTATGGTTCTATGATACTGTGGGTGTAGGGTGGGGGAAACTGCTTGGGAGGGGTGGGTCCTCCACCTGCCCCCCTGCATGGTGTACAACTGCTCTCCCCCTCCGCCCCCACCC